GGGGGGGGGGGGGTGGCAATCCACTCAAGTCACCTAAAAAAGTACCAAGTTAGAATTGTAGTTCCTCACCAGCGTTAAACCTCCATTTGTGTGGGGCCAAAAATAAAACAGTTGGATATAGTTAAGTGCTTAAATGGAAAATGACCAGTTATTTAAAAACAACCTGTCAGGAATTAGTCAAGGAACAGATTAATTTAACACTCACTTTGCAAGATGAAGTTCCTTTGAAAACCACCCATTAAAAATAATGTGACATCCCCATTCCCCATATTATGAAGATGGCTAGTTATTTCGCAAGCTTCCAGTTGGAGTCAGTCAAACGACTAGTTCCTCTTTACAAGCAACTGGACGAAAGCACCAGCCCCTGGCCTGACAGTTTCCTAATGTGGTTTGGTCTCCTCACTGCTAATCAATTTCAGATTTTGTTAACTTTTCCTAAAGCAAGGATTAAGAAACCTTTGGGGATAATCAATAGGGGTTCCCCTGGAGAAATGCTGAAATCCTCAGAGACCACTAACCCCAACAGCCTCCTTTTACAAATGGGAAAACTGAGGCCTAGCATGCTCCAGTCTTTGCTGAGCCATGCTGGTGACAAGTAAGCCAGGTTCGTGTATTATTTTGAGGTCCTTGGATCAGGTGAAGCTGAATAAACTTCAGGTGCTTTTTCTCCAAGCCCAGTCATGAGGTTTCCCCACTCTCTCCAGGTCTGAGCTATACAAGCCCCAATTTGGAAACGTTAGATGTTGTAACAGCCCCCTGGTAGCTCTGTGTATGTATGCGCTTGTATCTGTCCACCATTACATTTCAGAATCTCTGGCCCTTCCGAAAGACAAGCAGTTTATTAATGTGGCGCTCGCTGAATTGTTTTTTAATTGGAAACATTTTGCAATGAAAGAACATTAATAAAACCTGAATCCAAATCAAACTTCTCTGTGTATGTTATTTTTACTCTGCAGTCAAAAGCTTTTATTAGATTTAAAACTTTCACTGTGCTTTTTATCTCTGGCTGTATAATGTTCTACAATAAAAAAAAAAAAAAAAAGCCCAATGACTCCGAAGTCTGGCAAAATAATATACTTTCTTGGATGTCTCTGTGTGTTGCCAATTAGCTTTGCTGTGAACGCAGGCCCCCATCCATCACCCGCCTCTGGGTGGCTGTAACAGAGACCTAATTTGTTTCATATGCCCGGTGCTCTCTGAGCCATTCACCAGCACCTCCAACCTGCTGAGGAGCAGCCGGGCCAAAGAAGAGATGAATGACAAGAAAAGCCCCAGGCAAGCCAAAGGGACCCCTTATCAGAACCGGCCTTAGTTCCTCTTGCCCAGTGGGAAAATCTCAGGCTCCGTGCCTCCAATTCCTTCCTCCCAGCTCCCCCACCCACCCTCTCCCGTCTCCTCCACCTCTTCTCTCCTTTCATGACCCAAAAGACCCAGAGCTCACAGGCAGTGAGGCCGGGTGGAGAATGGGAGTCTTCTCCTTCCCCCCCAGTTTCCCAGAGCTGGCTGCTGTCCTCTCCCCTCTCTGCCCAGTTCCCACCCCCTCCCACCTACTCCTTTTACAAGCCCGACTTTTAAACCTCCAGTTCCCTAGGAATTTTATGAATGCTCAGCACAAGCCAAAATAAACTCGTAAAGAAAAAATTTCTAAAGAAGGTCATAGACCCGTACAGCAAGTGCTAAGCGGTAATACAAAAGTTCTTCAGGTCGCTGGGAGCTAAGGTCTGGGTGGTGGAAGGTTGGGGTCAGTGGAGGGAAAGGGGGGCAGGAGGGATACGGAGTGAAGGTTCCTTTCAGGAGAGAAAAAGGATCTCCAAATCCCAGACTCACCAAGGGTTTTTTGTTGTTGTTGTTTTTAAGCCCTATTATAGTTCACCTTCTCACTTGATTGAAGCTGTAGCCCAGAGAGGCGAGGGCTTTATCCAAAATCACACAGCAAGCTGGCCTGTCCGGTGCTGAAGCTAGGTACTGACTCCCAGGCTGAGCTTTCCCTTTCTGTGCTGCGGACACAACGAGGGGAGGGAAGGAAGGGGCCTCAGGATCATGGAGCTGCCTGTAACGCTCTGGAGTGGCGCCACCCAATGGAACTTTCTGCAGTGATGGGAATGTTCTGTTTCAGTGCTGCCCAGTACAGCAGGCACTCACCACATATAGCTATCAGAATTAAGTTAAAGAAAAACTTCAGCCTCCTAGCCACGTTTCAAAGGTGAGCAGGGTGGATAGCCCGAATAGGAAACATTTCGGTCAATAGACATTTCCATTGGACAGCACTGCTCCTGAGGTCAACATCCTTGGCCTTTGAAGACATAATGTGGTCATGGTGCAAGGTGGTTGCTTGCTCTGGGCTGTCACGCCCCTAGAACCTCCACCACCTCCCACAGTGACACATGCCCTTGGTGGCCGGGACCCTGACTCTCTTCTCTTTTCACCCCTGTAATATCTAGCACAAGATAGATTCTCAATGAAGATTTAGTTTCAGAAGCAAAGGGTGGAAAAGGGCCTTACAGAGAGTTTAACTGGACCACTCCCAGAGCAGGAATCTGCCCTGCAGCCTCTCAGAAGGTGGCCCATCCACCCACTGTTTGCACACCTCTAGGCTTGGAGACCTCACTGTCTCACCAGGCAGCCTAGTTCATTTCTGAAGAACTGGGAATATTAGAATATACTTTCTAAAATCTAGCTGAAACCTCCCCACTTTCATCCACCACCCTGGATCTGCCCTCTGGGGTCTCACAATATTAATTTTGCTTTTCTTTCCATGTAATGACCCTTCTAATAGTGAAACATAGTCCAGTTCCTCCTTGTTCCCCTTCCAACATGGAGCTCCTCACTGAACAACTAATTCTAGATGTGGATTGGTCAGGAGAAAACAGCAGGTACTGAGCTCCCTTTATCTAGAGGCCATTCTTCTGTTAATACCACCCAGGCTTTAAGTAACTCCATTACTCCATAGGCTCCTACT